GATGAAATGCTATAGGATTTAGATTACAAATTTCTCTCGTAATTCTTTTTTCAAAATCTTGTATAATTTTTTTAATTTTTCCATTTTTTAATTGTTCTTCAATTCTTTTATATTCTATTTCTTTATTTATAAAGTTAATCTGTTTTTGTTTTCTTTCTATTTGATTTATTCTTGTTATTGATGCTTCTTGTACTAAATTTAGTTCTCTAATCTTTGGCGTTTGTAAAAATTCAAACTTTATTTCTCTGTCTGGTATTACCTTACTAATAATTCCTGTATTATTAATTTCACAAGGATATAATAATGTTAGAAAGGGGGTTCCTAATATTATTTTGTTTCCTATATCTTTTACTAATATAAATGATGTGATAAAACATATTTTGTTTTTACAAATTTTTCCTTTTGATAATTTGTAATTTATTTTAAGTTTATTTCCTCCTACAACTGATAATTGTTCTGTAGTTTTTTCATAATATTTTGTAGGAATTATTCTTTCTTGTATATAATTAACATCTGCTCCTGAGTCTATTAGAGCTATTAAGTTAAACTTTTCTTGTTCTACAATTAGAGTTATTTCACACCACCATTTGTGTGAAGTTATCAGTGTTAATAATTCTAAATTAAATATATCTGGTTGCTCTTCTACTTTTGTTCCTGATGTACTAGTTTGATTTTCTTGTAGTTTAAGAATCTCTTTACCTTTTAAAGAAAATAATCTGATTTCTAAGTCTTTTTGATATTCTTTTAGTTCTTTTATTTCTATTTTTAAATTTACTATTTCTTTTTGTAAATCTTTTATAGTGGTTTGTTGACTAGGAGTTTGAAACCTTTCAAAAACTTCTGTCATTTCTATAGGCTTAATTACTACTTCTTTTGGCTCTTCTCTTGTTACAAATTCATTAAGTTTTTTGATAAATTTTACTTTTAAAGGTTCTTCTTCAAGACCTTCTATTATTGTTATTAAGGATTGAGTCTAATCTCTAGTTATAGTATTGATTTGTGGAGTCTTACAATCATCACAATTACATAATCCTAGTCCTAAACAGAAACTTTGTTTTTCTTCAGATTCTTCTGAAGTGTTATCTAGTTGATAAATTTCATTTTCTTGTGCATTTTCATTTTCATATTCTTCATCTAAAAAGTCTAGTTCTGGTTCAGAGTTTATTAGAATTGCATAAAGAACTTGTTTAAGTTCTTCATTTTCAATAGAGTTGATTTTCTTTTCTACTCTACATTTATCTGCGCGATGGCCATACTTTCCACACTTCCAACAATTTCCTTTAAACTGATTATTGTTGTTATTTGTATTTTGTGATGGTTTAGTTATGTTTTTCTTATATTATTTTTTATAAGTATTTTTCCTATATGGATTTTTCTTATAGCTTGGAGGATTTTGATTTTGTTTTCTTTTATTAGTTTTCCTAATTATTCTATTAGGAGCTTGTATGGGCCCTATTCCATATTGTGCACAAAAGCTTACTAACTCAGCTTTTCCTATTATTTCTTGTTTTCTAATTTGATTTTGTAATTTTATGTCTCCACATATTTTTATTCTTGTATCTATTACAAAACCATGTAGTTGTCCTAAAGTTAATGTTCTATAATCAATATGTTCCCCTAATCTATTTTTGATGTTTTCTATGACTTTTGCTGCGAATAAAGAGGGAATTCCACATATAAATCTTTCTTTCCAATATGGTTCATTAGCGTCTTCTAACATCATTACTTTTGACATAAACATATCCCTATACCAAGTATAATCAGTCATGGTTGGACAGCTAAGTTTATGTAATTGTTCTCTTACTCTTTCTCTGAATACTATAGGATCTCCTGTAAAGTGTAATAATATTGTATAAATAAGTGTTACAACAACATCTTGTTCATTATTTTCTTGTTTAATGTGTCCTAATATAAATTCTCTATCGGCAGGGGTTACATAATTATCCCATCAGCCTCTCAGTTGTCCTGTGAAACCTTGTACAATGGCTTCAGCTGCTACTCTATCAGAGGCGTTTCTCATTTTGTAAGCAGTGGCCGACATAGCCATTTGTTGTGTAATATCAAAAATTTATTGTTCAGAGGCACCATCAATATTCCATTCAACAATATCATTGCCTCCATAGGAATTTTGTACAAAATATGGCCTATTTTCTAAGGCAACATTTGGTAGAGTAGGCCTATTGTAATAATGTTTTATTTTTGGATGTTCATAAATTTTATTTATTTCTAAAGTATTTATTATTTGTTTATCTATACTTAACTTAGCTATTTTTGTTTTTATTTCTTCTATATCTAATTCAAGTCTGGATTTCTTTCCTAATTCTTTCATGGCTTATGCGGACATAGTAGTGATTGAATATATTGGTTTATCTAAGTAATGTAATTTTTTAATATTATTATTACTACTGGAATTTTCTTTATTATTTTCTATTCTGTTTAATTGATTAGTCATTAAGTTTATTATTGTATTAGAATAATTTAATTGTTGATGTATTTTATTTATATCTTTTTTATTTATTCGTTCACTATTGTCATTAGTCTTTTTGTAAGGACTTGCTTCTACTTCTTCATTTTCTATTTGTATTTTTATCTGTTCTAGAGGAGGATACTCAGCCTCTATTATTTTTCCTGTGGTAGTTTTCCATCCATAGGAAAAAATAAGTATTTATTTGTATTTCTTCTAAATATTTATAAATTTTTTCTCTAATTTCTGCGTTTTGTTGTTGACTAAATGTTTTTATTAAATAAGTTTTTCTATCTATGTTGTGTTCTCCATCTATGTCTTCTTTAATCTATTTTTTATCTATAGTGAAAGGTTCAATTTTTTCTATTGTATTTAAAACCTGAGAAGGTGTTGGACTATAATTTACTTCCGAATTTTGGTCATAGACTGGAATAGAAACTCCTGGTTTGGTTATGTTATCTATTTTGGTTAGGTTTATATCTACTGTTGATCCGCTAATAGAATATCTTGAGGGTTCTCTAATAGTGGATGGTTGTGTTATACGAATCGATCTAGACCTATTCATTCTTAGTCTAAACCTTTCTGGTTCTTCTATTATATCTCTTATCTCTGTATTTTCTTGTTTAATAGAAGAGGATTCTTCAAAAACCCATTCTTCTGGTATTGTTAATTGGTCATGTCTTAATCTCTTAGGTACTTGTACTAAACTTCTATTAAGATTGACTTGTATAACTACAGTTTCGTCTCTATTAATTTGCCTATTTGCCTTAAATCCATAAAGGATTTTGGTAATTTTGTAATAGACTCTATAGATCACATGAAATGGATCAAACGAGTCATCTACTATATTTTCTTTTATTTTTGTAAATATTTTTATAGCTTTGGATGTTTTCTCATTGTATAAGGACATTGATATGTTGGGATAACAATTAAAGAAAACTGGTCCATCATGTAAATTACTTTCTAAAGCTGCTATTATTGAATCACTTTTATTTTGTAACTTCATATCTCTTAATAGTACAAGTATAGGAAGATCTACTCCTATCTTGAAGTTTGGTTTAACTGCTAATTGTATTAATCCTATATGAATAAATTTAAAACCTTCTTGTCTATGGTTTTGTATAAGTTGATCTTCTAAAAGTTGAATTGTATCATTTAATTTTGTTCCAGGATAAGAATATTTTTTTTTTGTGAATTTGTTCATGATTATTTCTGAACTACCAAACAGATCTATCTTTGTAAACATCTTTTTCTTTAACTATAGGAATTGATCAATCATGTAAGGATTTTTCAATATCATCTATGGTAATCTGTTATGGTGTTGTTAAAGAAGAGGAAACTATTTGTGAAGAGGAAGAATTTTCATCTGCTCTCATTACTCTTGTAATTATCTCTTTGTTTCTACCTAGAGCTAAATTACTCATTGTTCTTAATAAATTCGCCATCTTGAATCCTAAAGGCTACGAGAATACCAAGGCTTACCAACGGTTTTACTGCCCACGCTTAGGACTTATTACCGGGAACACCCTTAAGGCTTACCAACGTACACACAGCTCTCACTGCTACCCATTTGGATTCTAAATGACTAACTTATGTAGAACAAGTTATAATCAACTCAAGATATAACAAAAGAAGATTACAAGATTAATGATATACATATGATTAAAATTCAGGCTCTTGACAAAACTTTCAAATCTTTCTTATTTTCTTTGATATCTAAAAGGAGCATTTTCCTTTCAAAACTATTTTGAGTTTCTTATCAAAGTTTTCTAAATTCTTTTAATTTTCTTTTGATATCAACAGGATGAAAAAAATTCATATTCTCCAAAATCATAAATATAAAAAGGCATTATGATTTCGTAAGGCATAAAACTTTAAAACTTTATATATATATATATATATATATATATATATTAAAACTCATTTTAAAATATTTCAATTTTTAATTTTTAAATATTATTTTTTATTATCATTTTATATTAATTTTTTTTTTTTTGTAAAATTAAAAATAAAATATTCTTTTAATTTAAATTTTGATTCAAATCTTATAAATGAAAAAAACAAGTGCAAGACAAAATTGTCTATTTTAATACATTCAAGTATATTATTTTCCTACAACATTTCAATCCGTTCAAACACTACTAATTTTACTTTCAATTTCATTATTTTCTATTTCAACCCTCTATTCTACGCACAGTGTAAAATTATATAATAAACTATATAAAATTTATATTTTAAATTAAGATTAGCTAAACTTTAGTAATAATATTTGAAAACAATATAAATTAAATATTCCTAATAAAAAAAATACATCATTCGACTTGTCAAGGAATGAGTAGCGACTTTACAGTTTAGGTACATAAGAGTTCTAAATTTTTTATTTTTATTTTGTCAACAATAGGTGACATAAGAGTTGACTTTACAACTTACACAAGAACGTGGGCTCATGCCAAGTGGGGGAGTCCAGAACAAACTGGGCCGTAGCCCAATCTTTAATGTGCAAAAGAGTGAAAACGTTGATTACAAATTTGCACTTTCCTTATCATCTATCTATGTGTGTGTGTGTATCTTGGAAGAGGCATGGCGTTAGAGCATGCACTGTCATCGACTACCCAAAGCTTAAGGAACTTATTCACAATCCCCCAAAACCCTAATTTAAAACCCCAATTCCAATTCGGTTTTCCCCACTGGAAAACGCAGCAACGATGGAAAGGGAAAGGGAAATTGAAATGCTCCATGAGCACCGCCGCAGTAGCATACCCTAAGCCCTCAGAGATTCCATGGAAGAAGGAGCTCTGCAACTCCGTCAACCTCATTGGCATCGTTGCCGTCCCCGTCGAAATCAAACACTTTCCCTCCGGCAAAGTCGCTGCCTGGACACGCCTCGCCGTCAAGAAAAACGCCACCCAAACATCATGGATTCACGTCACATTCTGGGACGACCTCGCTCATGTTGCTTCCCAGCATTTGCAGAAAGGCCACCAAATTTATGTGTCTGGTCGCCTCGTAACCGACACTGTTGAAAGTGACGAAGGCAAACATCAAATATACTACAAGGTTTTTTACTAATTATTTTTAAAATAAATGTTCATTTTGGCACTGAACAGTGCAGAATGTCTATTGCAATTCTCTGCATATTGCCTCTCATTTTTAATAATTTTTAATATAAAATATCTGTATTATTATTATGTGTATAAAAGAGGGGGAAAAAAATTCTCAAATGGAAGTGATAGTAGATATTTAAGAGTGAAGATAGACATACCTTGAACAGATTTATTATATTATAATTTGTTGTTATTGGTGACCCTTTGTTCAGGTGGTGGCTCAGCAGCTGAATTTCATTGATCAGAGTTTCTCTCCGGTGTCCTCCCATGATCAAGAGTTTGATTTGGGGATGGCCGGCACTGGCAAGTCGTGTATTTTGTGGAGTGTTGTGTTGAGTTCTGTAGGGGTTTGTGTTTTCTTGCTAAATGTTGAAGTTGTTGTTTCAGGCAGGAAAGTGAGTTATGCTGCAAATAATACTGGTTCTGTGGTGGAATTATGGCAAGCATTCTTTGCTAACCCAGGGGAGTGGTGGGACAATAGGAAAAAAAAGGTACATTGTTTATTAATTTTGTTAGTTTAGAAAGATTAAGCTCCTATTTTGGTTGCTGACTTTATAAAATTTTCACTTTAATCTCTAATTTAATAAGAGGACGTCTATTTTATTTTTTATTTTATTTTTAATGCAAACCAACAATGAAAAATGAAATAGAAAATGACTAAAGGAGTGTTTTCTTTACATAGTCAAGAATTAAATTGATGATTTTATATAGTCAAGAAATTAAATGAATTATGCTTATAATTTTAGGAATTAAAATGAGAATTTACTCAATTAGAAAAAGGTGCATGTTTAGGCTGTTTACCTGTAATTCTCCTTGTTTATTTCAAGTTTCGAGTATTGCGTCATTCCTATTGAGTGTTGTTGCTAATTTGCTGTTTTGTATTTGGAGTTACTTTTATCTGAAACCTATATGACATCCACCTTCCGTCTTCAACTTAAATTTCATGATTTCCCCAATTTCATTTTTTTATGTACAAAAAAGTTTAGGAAAGGATATGCTGCACCATTCCAAGGTTGGGGCATGACATAGGCCTTGGCAACGGTCTTATTATAAATGCTACTTATAATAATGGCAGGATGACCCTTCGGTCATTGTTGTTGAATCCTCTACCCGTTAAGCAAACGTCAGAAGAGCCTCGTATCCACATAATCATTATGAACCTTTCTGATATGTCAACACTTTAATTGTTGGGATGACTATGGTACATTTTAAATATACCCGATGCTTTTTTTAGCCGTTGAGCATTATGTGTCTACAGTTTAGTATATAGCCAACGGTGAAGTAAACAATTCCAAGATGTTGCCGCTTGCATTATATTCAGTTGATGGTATTCTTATGGATATTCTTGATCAATATCTATTTATCTAAGTAATCATTCAATTATTCAAACAAAATGTTATGATGATTACTTCATATTTATCCAATGTTATTGTTACCACTTACCATAAGTTTCTTTGCTTGAATTAACGCAGAGAACTGTCCTCTGCTATATATATATATATATATCTTGTGAATTTCTTGTGCCTTACATCTTCAAACATTTTTGGAACCTTTGCAGAGGAACCCAAAAGCTCCTGATTTTAAACACAAAGATACAGGGGAAGCTCTGTGGATTGAAGGCAGATCCAATCCACCATGGGTCAAGTCCCAATTGGAAATATTGGACATGAGAATGGGGGCTCTTGCTGGTCAAAACGCTAGGATGCCTGTAGATATGGTGACTGCAGATGAAATCTTGTCTTTCTAAAAGCTCATGTCAAATCTTGCCCAACGTAATATTCAATTTCGTTCAACTGAGAAACTTCTCTGTACAGTTTGCATTTTGCCCATAATTTTAATTCTACACATGGCAACACTGATAATGGTCTGTGGTGGTATATTAACTGGACTGATCGTAATGGCCTACTCTATCCCAGGCAGTGGCATACAGTGACCAATCCCAAAATCACTAGTGGGATAGCTGAAGGTGAAACGCATGCATTTGGGAACCTGTTGAAACCAACGCAAATCCATGTTCTTGTCAATGTTCCAATTTTTGGTTTCCATGTTTAGTGTATTGGAATGAGTGAACTTTTGTTTGAAAGAATGTGAATCGGTTTCCAAACATGCTCATAGCTCAATTCACTAAGGATTATATTTTTAGTTTGTGCCTTTTTAATATATACGGAGATGGGCTAAGAAATAAGAATTAACCTAGCTGTTGATAATGATAGCCAACGTTATATGGCTGAAATGAGGGCCTTGCAATATTTCCCTCATGGCATTCAAAGGCAAATTTATTTATTCTATCAAAACATATAGGAGTTTTTTTTTTTTTGGGTCAACATAGCACACAACATATCAGACTTCAACGTATATACGAGGTCGTGAAGATAACGTAGATATTTTTCTTCGGTCATGAAAATAACGTAGATAAGAGGGTCTGCTATTGATCTCTGGGCCAAAAATAACGAATAGAAATGAGCGCGGTATATATGCCCATGTGTTTCTTTTTATATATTTTTTCTATTTTATTGGAAGGAAACAAAAATGCTTGATTTGACTGATAATTATACTTTGAGTTATATCATTTATATACTTCTTTTAACAATATTATATTCTTCTCTATCTCTTCATTACATCAATCATCTTATTCCACATTTTCTTATCTTCTATTTCCTTATTTCTTTGTTACAAAAAAGAAATTGCAAAAGAAATTGTGCAAATACAATTTGTCTTGTACCTTTTTATGCCCCCTTACTTATACGATGCTCTGTAGTTCTTAATTTGGTGCAAATTTTCATTTATTTACTAAAATAACTTAATTGAATTGATATATCAGTAAGGAATATTATTTTTTATAAAATTATTTAAAAGTTATATCTACAATATATTTTAATTAACTGGTAGTGTAAAAATCTGTATTGCTCATAATACACCAAAATTAAAGGTTTACGAAAATGATACCTAATTTTAAGAAAGGTGGATGAAGTTATGGTCCCGTAACATATTAGAAGTTCTTTAAATTATTTTTTAAAACACTAAACAAAATTAGTATTTTAGTTTATAAAATCGTTAGTCGTAATTCATGGGCCCTTTCCGTGCACTTTTGACTAGTGTATATAACCTATTTTGAGACTAAATAATGTGTTGCATGCAGCATTCACTAGCCCTATGCATTTATATGCTGGAATTGTGAAGACACTGTAAACTATCAAGTCTTTTCTTTTATGGTCAACGACCGTCAAGTCTTGATGAACCATAACAAGGTTAACATTTTAAACAAGTGGTACTTGTTTTTAGTCTGATAATGAGTGGATTGATTAGATAAACTAACAATATTCACCAAACGATGCATTCAATTATGGATATAAAGGTATCAACGATAAAAGTGTGTACTTGATTTTCAGTTCACATGGTTCAATCCATGATTTGAATACGATTTACAAGAGACAAGTTCTTATCTAAACTAGCCGTTTCGCTAATTTGGAATTTGGATAATTGGTCTTTCTCAATTCTCATGTGCATTTCACAAGAGTGTGTGTATATATATATATATATATAATATAAAATAGAAAAGTTATTAAGAAACATATAATAAAAAATTAAAATTTCTGGATTAATTTTTATATACTTATCCAAACAAAATCTTTAAGTACGTGATTTTGAATTCGATTTTGAGATTTACGTATATAAAAAATTCTGTCGAAAGATATTCTTAGTGGCTAACCATATTTGTAAGATGTGAGTTTTTCACCTACCGAGTGAAAAAATACTTTAAAAAAAACGTATATAATTGCCTCTTTGTGCTTATTATTATCATTGTTGGTTGAGAATTCGTTCTACTTTATTTCATTCGCTATCTAAATGGAGTCTTTGAGTATGTGATTTTGAATTAAATTTTGAGATTTATTATATAAAAATGTTATTGAGAGATATCCTTATTTTAATGATTAACCATATTTATTCTCTTAGATAAGTTTTTTGACCTAGTGAAACAATACTTACCAATTAAGAAATAAGAAAAAAAACAAAGCATATGATTATTACCTTATTATTATTATTTGCTGACAGCCCATTCTACTTCTTATAAAGTAGAAGAAATAAGTTGTATCTGAGGATAATATTTGATTAATTGGTAATGCATTTGGTGGCAATTGGAGCTAATAACAGTGTTGGAATTCAGAATAAGAACGATGACAGTTAGGCAAACAAAACTGTGAATTTGTGTACAGTGCACAGATAAATAAGAATGGTGGAGGAGGACGCTCTATCCAAATCAAGCGTCTACGTCATGGCACTGGTGAAAATGGCCGAATCCTATGGCACCACAAAAGTAATTAAAGCAAGTTTCTCGGATAAGGATTCTTAGCTCATTCCTCTTTAAATGTAGGAATTATGATATCTTAATTCGATTACTTTTAGATTGTTGAGTTTATGACGTAACCATGCCTGTGAAGTGCCAACTTTGGAAAATCCTATGCTACTGTTCCTTAATATTGCACTGTCCCACCACCAATCACTGAGTTTTCCACTGCATGATCTCTTCGCCAATAATTTGACGTAACAGTGCACACCCAAATTCTATTCATGATGTTTATATCTAAAAGAATACTTTATTTAACGTCTGTCTAATAATATATATTAATAAGTAGAAAATAAAATTTTCATTAGAAATAAAAATATTTAGTTCATATTTTTCATGATGATTTAAAATATTTAATAAACATACACTTTTGAAATACAGATTAAAAAAACGGATATAAAGAAAACCTGTTTTTTGTGGCGGCTGGACTATGTGATTTACCCCTTCATGGTCAATGATTATAACTTGCAACAGTGTAAATTTAAAGTTTAATGTATTTTATATTTTTACATTTTTATTTATGTATATTTTTAGTTCTTTTAATTTTAATTTATTTTTAATTGTTTTAATTAAATGTTATATCTTGTAATTTTGTTTATTAATTAATAAAAATGTGATAATCATTTATTTGTGTAGGTTTATAAATAAGTAAAAGAAATATTAAATAAGAAAATAGTTATTATCGTTAATATGTTTTAAATATTTATTTGCTAAAAATATTGTCAATGTGATAATATATATTAATGATAAATTACACCTTTCTACGTTAATCATTCACACTGGTTTACAAAGAATTAGCACTTGTATTAATTGCCAACGTAATTGTACCTTGTGATGTGAGTTATAATATTCAATTTATTATTTATAATTATAATCTATTATATTTATTTATTTATCATGAAAATTTTACATAATTTTTTTCAAAATTTTAGTTTTATTTTTTTTATTTACTGACTTTGATTTTCTCTTTCATAAGATTAAAAGAAATACTTTAAGTGAATTATTAAAAGAAATAGAATATAATTATGTGAAAAATAATTATTTGTGAATATTAAATTAATATACACATAAAATAAATAACATTGAAGTTCATAAGGGAACGCCCATGCAAAATAAATAAATTAAGCACTAATTTACTCTTGAGAATATCCTCATCCATCTTGAATGTGGAGACACATCTGATTTTGTAGAAATGAGAAGTACTATTAATATCTACTTGTTCACTCAGAGTTATATGGGGAACACTTTTATTTGCATCGCCATCAAGAAAATTATTGTAATCATTCTTCTAACGAAGACATTTATTGGTATTGTTCTTCCTGCATGCTTTTTTCTCTTTACCATTATCTTTACCTTTTTTATTACTATCTTAAATCATAGGGGAAGTTACTTGGTATTTTTAAAAATATTTCATATACAATTTTCTTAAAACAATAAACAAAATAAAAATAAGACAATTTTTAAAATAATAATATTTTTTAAAACCAAACACTCTCATGTCCATAATTTCCTAAATGAGAAATCATGAATACAACTATAAGATGAAAGATGTCGATGTAGATGATTGGAATGGTTAGGATCCCCTTCGAAATTAAGTTTGGATTACAAGAATTTATACAATCTCATCTGATGCCTCTGGAAATATGCTAATGATTCTGCGTTGACATAATAATTGTATGTTTTCAACGCATCTAAGCTATGTATGGATCCATGATTAGTTGTATAAATTATAATATAGAACATCTAACGTTATTCATGGATCGACTTCTAAAATTGAATTCAAAGAAATCCCAACTATTACGAGGACACAAAATCCTGAAAATGAATTTAAAATATGGCTCAAATTTTACATAAGACTCTAAACTAATATTTTTTACATTTTTCATTTTCTTACATTCTCTATATTTTTTTTCATATTTTTCATCACATCTGTTACATTTTTCATCTATCTATCCCTCGTGTTGTTCTTCCTCTATTCATTCCAAACGCTCTATAAGAATGTTAAAATATTATAACAATTAAATAAATATACGGGGATCACAAGGCATTAATTACAGTAATGGATTGGCTGAATTATTGAATTTGGTTTATTTCAAGTCAAGATGTATATATATACACACATTTAATTGTGTTTTAGCTGTTTGGTCCACAGGCTTATAATTGTATTTCAAACGTATTAAGTTTATGATAGGCTTTTGGGCTTTTTTTTGTATGAAAAAAAAAAATCAATACCAAATAGTTTAAATTAAAAATAAATTATTGACAGTTTTTTCTTTTTATTATTTTTGATAAATTGTTATTGATAATTTTTTATTTTAAAAACTTTTTAATACTTTTTTAAAAAAGTTGGCATGGACGACTTTTGTTATTTTATAATTAATAACTGTTTTGTTTTTAATCTTTATAAATACGAGAGATTCCACGGTTGTTCCAAGGGTACGTAACCCAACTGGATCTCATGTTTAAGTTATATTCAAAGATCATTCGTAAATCGAATAATTAGCATCAACATTACGAAACCTGCATCAAATAAAATTTGCCGCAATTGCTTAATTAAAATCAAGTAGAAAGATAAAATATAGATCAAATCAAGACCAGAAGAAGAAAGAAGGAAAGAATGAAAGAAAGTTCTTGATTAATTCCCTTTAGTATATTTAATTTTGTAAGCAAACAGATACAGAACAAAATGATTCATTTATTCTCTGTACATTTAACATAGTATTTGCTTTGCTTTTATTCTCTTTTCATTCCATTTCTATTAATTTTCCAACATGGTTTTGGCTTTGAGGAGAACAGTATACATAATGAAGCAGGCCAAAAAGCCGCCTAGCTGTTGAAACAAATCAATAAAGGAAATGAAATTGGTGTAGTGCGTTCGTATGTCTTTTAATCAGCTAAATATGACCAGTCACAGAGGCTAAGCGCATGTTAATTTGCTCAATCCAAACAGAGGAAATTCTCTTGGATGATGTCACTGTAAAATGCTTTACTCCATGTTTGGATATGGATATGGTCTTGCTTTCCTTTTTTGGGTCAAAAACAACCCAACCCCTTTGCTTCGGATCCTTTCATAATTCTCAGCCTCTTGCAGGATGACACGAACATGCTGCAACAGTTAAGCAACTCCATAAGATGATACACACAAACAACAAATATTTTTTTTCAAAGAACATAATAAAGAAATGACAATGATCAGAAGAAAAGAAACTTACTTCCATGGAACGTCTCCAACCAGCATCCAGTCACCATCTTTGTCTTCATAAGTTGGAGCATATTCAGATCCATTGTACCCTTCCCTTTCTGAATATTCACCTGATTAATCACAATTAAATTCCCATTATAATTTTATCCCTCATTTCTATACATACACATGCCAAATCATGACTATCCAAAAAAAATATTTTTTTTTAAAATTTGATCTTGGTTCTTACCAAATGTGCACTTGAACATATTTTCCATGGCCTTAAGGAGTTCTGGGTAGCTCTTGTAAACCTTGAGATCCATCTTCCTCAAGTAAGGTGCACCCGCCATGCTCACTTTCACATACATCCCACTCCCTTCACCTTCTTCTCCTTTCTTTTCTTGTACTTGCAGAGTGTTCTTCCTAAAAGATCGAATTGGTGGCCACCCCACTACCTGTGCCCTGCATGCCAATTTTTTCATTATTATTCAACATTCATATCCAACTCTTGCATACTAATTTTCTCAGGGTGTATTTGAAAACACATTAGAAAAATTTAAACACAAAAGTTATAAATCGCATTGCATTCATATACCGTTTAACCTATTAATGTAAAACCAAAGGAACATATCTATTTATCACTTACTTTGCGGGTGGGACGTTGTCTTGATCATCATCATCATTTGTGATATCAGAGCCATTAGAATTCATGAGACTCTTGCTTATGGACTCATCACTGGCTTCTGGTGAAGATCTCTTGTTGCTTCTAATAACAGAACGTGTATCAGGCTCATCACTTCCGGGCAAACCCAACCTTAGTTCCGTATCCTTCAAATTCAGCTCTTGTTCGTGGCTGCTCAGGGAATTATTCTCCATTTTTGTTGACATATACGAGCTATGCGATCGATCACCTTTATAATTTTTGAAAACCTGAACTGTGTTCAATCTAAAATTTCTTGGGGGAGAAAAGAGAGAGAGATGAACGCGATAATTGAGAATTGTGATGCAAGTTGTGGTGAAAGACTAGGTGGTCGCTCATCAATTTTATAACAACATGAGTGTGGGACAATATCTAGGTGACTTATTCTCTTGGTGCATGAATTTGAACACAATGATGAGGCATAAACCGACTTTCGCCTCAGACACGCGCTTTTCACGAACCAATGAGATGCTGGCAAGGGAGGATTGTGGGACCTACACCACACGGTTGAAGAACCGCGTGACGTGGGGTTACAAAGGACAGATATTGTTGCCAGTGAAGTTAGCGACATGAAAGAACATGTTGTCGGGAGAAGAGGGGGACAAGGGAGGAACAAGCACCGCCTATGGTGTTCAACACTGGGGACCACATTGGACGGCTTTGATTGAGACAATGGGATTTGAGGAGCGAATCGTGGAGCGTTGGATCATGTGATAAGGATAGGGCCCCACGTGGATGTCATTTATTGGATGGTCGTAACCATGTGAGTGGACGTTATTATCACCCACGAAACCCCGTTGGAATTCAAGTCCCGTGGGCTGTGGCTGCGTCACTCACCCACCTCTTTCTTTTCCCCTTCTTAACTTCTAAGTAACCATTTAATTATACCCATTTGCGCTACTTATTTTTCACCTTACTGAACATTTATTAAAGGGAACAAATGTAATATTATTATTCTATTAATTAATAACATTAACTCATTATTTGAGTTTTAAGTGTTCAACATCAACCCAAGTTTTGTTATTGGTAGAGAGATATATAATTTAAAAAACAAAACACTTATCTGTTTTTCTAAATACATTATGCACTTTCAACTTATTTTTTATCATGACATTTCTTTTATGAAACATTTAACTTCTTATCTCTTTTTATTTCTACCTTTTCAAAAATTATTCTCCCAAAAAAATCCCCTTAATTTTGCATCTTGTCTCCACCCCTGCTTTCATTATTGTCGACAATCTACCTCACCATTACCCCTCTACGTACTAGAGCTACCATCACTAAACTCACCCACCTTGTACAATGAACTACCATGTTTTTTATCTAAAAAAATAAAAACTAATGAATTGATCATATTTAACAAATGGATGGTTGTGAATTTTTTGTTAGCGACTTTATTCAAACTTTTAAAAAAGGGAATAATGACATGTTAATTATATGAAATTTAAGAATGAATTGAACTAAAATAAAAGTTATAAGTGTTTATTTATAAAAATTATTGAATTTTGGAGTTTTAAACAAACAAAATCATCTTAACAAAAGGTTTCAGATCTGATCTTTCAAAAATATAAATGAACACATTACAAATTTAAAAATAAAATTTTATCCTCTATAATAAAAAAAGGAAACAAATAAACTCAAACACTCCTATTAATTAGCTTATCCTTCGTCAAACTAAAGCTCACAATTGATACCTTCAGAACATAATCATATGCTTCAAATCTAATATAATTACTTTATTTGAATGAACATGTTTGAAAATAAACATTTCATTACTTGATTTTATGTTGAGTATTAGAATATATAAAAAAAAAATTACGTAAATAATTTTTAGTTAAATGCAAATAACATAATATATTTCCTTTTATGTTAACGTTTAATTAAAATTAATTTCCTCAAATTATGACCATAAAAATTTAATATGACAAACACTTACAAAGATATACTAATACAGTATCACCAGAATGAAAATAAAAACCAAATTTAGAGTAAAGTGTTAGAAAAATTAAAGAAAGAAAATTCTGAAAGTATGGTAATTAACACAGTAAGTTCGAAGACAAGCGCGAAGCTACTTATAATGTATGGGGCTATCCGTCCTCCTAACTTTATTTAATTCTCTTATCAAAATAAATTGTGTAAATAAAGACACATCATCCTTGTGCTAATCATAAATTATCAAATTTTAATATTTAAATTAAGATTAACTAAAGTTAGACTAAAGTATTCGAGACACATTATTATTTTTTATATGCACTCTCCAGGAATATATATATATATATATATATATATATATATATATATTTGTGTATTAAAAAATCATTATTAATCATCAGCTTCTATTAATTAAGTTATGACACATAAATTGTAAACGTGCAAGTTCGATTCCCTGTTTTTTGTCACTTTATTTCTTTTTTTATATTGCCGGAGGATTTAATTGGAGTCTCTTTAAAATAAAGCTAGCAACACTACTTTTAATGCATTTATTATTATTATTTAAAATTTATTAACATTTAAAAAACAATAGAAAAAACATAGCTTTTTTAATTTTTAATAAATTTTAATCAATATTAAAAATGTATCTCAAAAAGTGTGTAAAATACTTTGCTTAAACCAAAGAAGAAAAAGACAAAGTCATAGCACACGAGTCAAAAAAGGCAACTCATGAACAAAGAAAGATGTTAGTTAGGTTAACTAAGAAGGGAAAGAGTGGCCAGCGGAGCATGCGCAGAGTCACGTTAACTGAGGCACTATCTCTGCTAATAAAACCAATTAATGCCATTTATTTCTCTTCCAATTCAACCCCAGACACAAAGGGCCATTAATATTTCTTCCAGCTAAATAACTTCACTCACAAAAATTATTATTTTCTGCTTTCATTATAAAAATAAAGTAAATTAAGAGTGAAGTCTACATCATTTTTGTAGTTTTCTAAAAAAATTTAAAAATATAAAAAGTATATTAAAAAAATTGTTAAACAGTGAAAAATATAAAATTATTAGAATCCTCGGAAAAATATAAAATTATGTTCTTGAAGGATTGGAGAAATAATTAGATACTTTGACCATCACATGTCAATGATCCTAATAAATTATCTAAATAAATTAAGATTATTCGAAAATAAATGCACCACAAAGCATAGGGTGTGAGATGCTACAGAGGGATTAGAACCCTTATGCATGATTACAAGAAGTATAGATATCGAGAATTGGAATAGACGAGGATTAACATTAGGTAGTGTAAATATGTGTGTGATATTGGAAAGCATAGTAGGCACTAGGCAACTAGCTAGGAGGTAGCTAGCTAGCTAGCTAGCATCTTGACATGATCTTATCAAAGCACACACGTGTGGGGTGCTTAATGTGGATGGCGATACATTGTGGACTTAGAGCCACACGTGGATGATTGAATTGGAACCTTTTTAGATATAAAAGTAGGTAGGGAAATGGGAATGAAGGCCCCAAATTTAATTACGTAGGTTAAAAGAATTAGTCCCCACTCCCACGCCCTAATTGCCTCCTTGTTTGCCTTTATGTCATGTGATTGATTCTTTTGGCCATGCATTGGCCCCATCTTATGCTATTGCTATCAATGCCCCTTCTTTTTAGATTTCTTCATTCATAAATACGCTTCCTTCTTTCACTACTGCACCTCAACTGTTACCACATCTGCATCTTCTCTATTCAAAAATTTACTGTGCTAAATTTAGTGTTATTCCTTATCTTTCGTTATTAAAATATAATATTTTAATGGTCACTGCAAAGAGTATTGATCCAGCGATAATATGACAGCACTATTTTTACAAGGCTAGTTTACGTTAATACCCCTAAATCGAAAGAAAAAGAAAAAGAAAAAGAAAACCATTATGTTGTTGGCAATTTTTGTAATGCACAACTTTGAATAAAGTGGTTGAAAGGTCTATTCAATATTACAAGTATCAGTCCGGAAAATGTATTGTTAGGAGGTATAATCTCATACTTAGGTAATGTTTGAATAGAGAAGATGTATTGGGTAAAGAAAACACACTCTTACTTTTATAAATTCAACAACCGTATTGGGTAAATATGTAAAGAAATTATAAATAGGTCGGCAGCTACTCATACTTGTGAGTAAAAATCAGCTCCAAATTCGTTAAGTGGGTTTTAAATTTAAATAAATTTATTGTTATTTGTAGGTATTTATAATTAAAAAACTCTTGCATTATGAAAATAGTATAATATTTTGTTACAATAATATAATATTAAGTTAAACACAAATTAAAATTATTATAAAATAATAGTATTAGCAACAGATTTCTTTTGAACATATATAAAAACATTTTAATAAATTTACAAGTATGGTTACGGGTAAGCATTTTAATATTCACACTTGTCCTGTTTACAAGCGGGTATAAAATTTATTTAACTAAATATTTAGTATCTCTAGATACATACAAATATTTTTATTCATAATAAATTTTATCTGAAAATTTAAATAATTTTGACATTATTTTTAAGTATATTTGACAAGATAAAAAAATAAAAGGGTTATCTTTCAACTTATTTGATTAGCTTAAAAGCATGTTTAATATAAAACGTTATTATTATTATTATTTTCATTATTTTATTAAAATTTCTTCTTTATCCTTCTTATGTGTTTAGAAACTTTTATAACTCTCGCAATCTAATCAAATATTATTTTCTTATAATATAAATATTTGCAAAGAGTAATGAAAAAAGAACCCTTTTATGCATAATCTTTTCTCACTTTCCATTGTTTTTTTTTTAATTATTATTACAGTAGTTCTTTATGTATTTTCAACGACAGGCTATTTGTTCCAACCTCCAAATTAATAGTGTCTAACTCCCCAAAAACCAAAGCAAAACCACAACATCACTGGTAGTGTCATATGATACATTAAACTCATCATCTTGTGTATCCTAGGATAAAAAGAAACGTTGTCTTTTCATTCAAAAGAAACTTTAATGGAGAACCTCGCAGAGGAGAAAGTACAATTAACTTACAACATGGCTTAAGGCATTGTCAAACAGTTTATTCTCTACTTCATAAGTTGCTAGGCTAAAGTAATTAAGAAATTAATACACTATCATTTTATAGATTAAATAATAATCAAATAGCACTAAGTACTAATACAAGGCCCAAATCACACCCATTTCCTCGACGGTTCTCACTGTACGGAAACGGGATGAGTAATTGAGTTAATGTATACTCTGTGGAGCATTGCCTTGGTTAATGGGAGACACAGGACATGTATCATTCAAAACTAGGATGCTTCAACTGTCCCTTTTACTACCTCAGATATTTTTTTTCTTTCCCTCTTCATATTGAGATCAACTTCAAGTCGTCAGAAAATAATGAACTAAAACTCTATGTTCACATCA